TACATACGCATTCTCCAACCCACTCTGTCCTGGGCCTTCCTTTCTAGTTCTATTCAATTGTTGTTTATTCTTCTAATGCCTGTCTCCATATTTCGGCGTTATGTGTTCTTTGGTCTTCCGATTCTCTTTAGAAGTGGGGATTGCAAGTGAGGGCTAGCCTCGTGACGCAGTTGGGTGCTTTCCTCAATGTGTGTCCGATTCAAATCCACGGCTTCTTCCTGATTTTTTTCCTCTGCTAGAATCTGGTTTGTTCTCTCCCATAGTAGGTTGTCGCTTATTGTGTCTGGCCGACGGATCCAAATTATTTTGCATAGACAACTATTAATAAACACTTGTATCTCCTAGATGATGGCTTTCGTATTTTTCCAAGTTTCCGTCCCATACAGTAGAACTGTTTTGACATTTGTATTGAAAATTCTGACTGGTGTTGATTGACAGTTGTTTTGAGTTCCAGATGTTCTTCATTTGTAAATGTCCTGTTTTTGCTTTACCGAAACGCACCCTCACATCTGATGATGCCCAGATATGTAACATAACACGTGGTATTAATCGTTTGTATCTTCTGACTGTTGTTAAGCACTGCGATTGATCAGTCTCTAATTGATCTATGTGCATACTGTGAGGATTGCCACGATGTTGCTTTGAGTCGCAAGCATTCTAAGCAAAGTTAGATAGTGGTTAGCAGTGGAATCCAGTTTTACGCTCGTTTCGTCCTACTTGGGACTCGTCAGCTGGATGTACCTTCACCTGAGAGTTGAAGTTCACATGACATACACTAATTAAATGTTGATTAACTAACCCCATAACAAAATAAAGAGTAGATTCAAAATATATTATGCTTTATAATAAATGTATACTTATGTCGATTGAGTTTAACAATTTAACTTCCTTTCATATAGATTTTTATTTAAAAACATAGCGTCCGTTTCGATCAAGTGGTGGGCAAATCTGAAACATTAAAAAAAAAATTAGTTTTCTCTTGATCTTGCTTCATTTAGAAATCGGATTTTTGAGGAAAAGTTTAATGTAAACACCTTGAAGAAATCTGAAAATTTATTCACTTGGGTCTGTAGCTCTTTAATCAATCAAATTAACCTGATAAATGAACTCAAAAACAACAAACATTTATTTATGTTTCTTGGTAAATAATAACCACTATTGAAATCTTTAATATAGAAAAACTATTTATCATAAAACACTTGATAATACGATTTTGTTTTTTTGTACGCTCGTTTCAATATGCGAAATACAGATATTTATATCTCTATAAAGAGTAAACTTTATAATCTATGATAACATTGAGTTAAACTTAGTATTTTACCTAAGTATACACTCCATTGGATCACTTGTTATTGTTACATCGTAAACAATTTATGGCAAGACTAACAGTGTAAAACTATAAAATAATGTATAGTAACAACCAGGAAAACGATAATCAGAAGGGTTTTGTAGAGATGGTAGTAATTTAATAAATGAATTCATGAATCGATTGACCCTAGAATATCGTGGGAAAATTGGAAGCATTGGACAGCCGTTTCATCTCAGTATGGGACTCCTCAAGAGTGCGCATCCATGATCCCATCACGCGGGCCTCGAACCCAGGACCAATCGGTTTTGTGCACGAATGCCTAACCTCTATATCACTGAGACGGCATCTAATTGTGTTAATGTCTAACTTCAACCGATCCACGAAATTGAGCCACCGTCCACCATTGTCTTCAGTGAGTTACTATTTCACAACAGAACCGACTGAACTCAATTGGTCACGGCGTCTCACCAGAACTCCAGGAAATAACTATTGGAGATGATAACCATTGTTATTTAAATGTTTGATTAAAATACAAACTAATTATGTACAATAATAATGCATTTTGCTTTACTGTCTACCATAACAAGTATTTAGATACAGTAATTATCCTTTCAAATATAAAACGAATGTTTATTAACACAATGAAATAGCTTTCTTTTTTTCTAATATGTCGATACTAAGGAATAATCTGTCCACAAATTACAATTTGGTTTAGAAATTTCGTAATTAACTTCATAAATGAATATATATTCTGATATTAGATCATTTTGGCAAAAGTATAATATTGAATGTGCTTGACTTTACATTTAACCAAAAGGATTAATTCCGTGTTAATGTACCTGAGAATGAAGCCAATTATTGGTTTTCAAGAGTTTGTATTTTTCTAATGTTGATATTTATATAACTACAGATTATCAGTTGTTATTGTCTTCAAGTTGATTACCTGTTTAAGATAACGTAACAGTGGAATCCATCAATCAAGTGTCATCTTATTTGAAATTTGTTAGTTAACTGTATTTACGCCCTACTACAGAACTTACTGATATACAAATTTAATACCTATTAAGTTGTACACTGTTATGTCATCAACTTGACTACTGATTCGCATTCGCATTTTACACAATTGAGATTGTAAATTAGAATGAGACAAATAAATAGCGGAATGATAGAAACATCGTCAATAAATCATTCCGGTATATTAGGCTGTAAAAACCGTATAAAGTTGTATTACAATTAGATACACCACAGTACTAACAATACTTGGTAATTTCCATCAAAGAAAAACAATTAAAATATCCCACTTTGTTTATATAGGTTTATATCTGTATGAAGGACTATATATGCTAAGTAAATTTATTAAAATATAATTATGCTACTATTAGACTATAGTGGTAATAATTGTCATATGCTGTCTAGAGATAAACTTTAGTATGTAACTCCTGGATTTCTAGTGAGGGGCCGTGACTAACGGATATAATGTGTATGCTGTCCTTGAATAGATACTGTGTATTGAACAGAAATTCAACTAGGTTTAGTAGTATCGTCAATTATAAAGTCAAAGTTTGTTCGCTAGTTTCAAAACGGTTACGAGTTCACTTAGACTGCGAACGGAACAAAGAATTGTGACCAAAGACCAATAAACTAGTTATTCTGATGCGTCCCAGTCCCGCTAACTAGAGAGAGTAGTCGAAGGCCGAACGGGGAAGTATATTACGCAAAAAGCCAGAAGCATGAATGATAATAACAGACATAAATCAAAACGTATATATACAGCACAAAACCGTCCTTGGGAAGTGTTACAAATTAGCATATTAAAAGACACAACGGAACAATAGCGTTGAAGATCCTCTCAAGTGAGAAATATGCATGAACGTTAAAAGAGCGCTTTTGGCGCGAAAACAAAGAAATTCAAAATTTCAGAATAAAATTGCAAAATTGACCTTTTCCAAGTGAGTTCTGGGGATCTAACGTCCCCAATATTGTTTGACCTATGATAGGAAGACGTATTATCGCAAACGTTGTGATCTGTCAAGGAAAATATAATTGTCATAGCAGAGATTGTTCCTCCTGGGATTTAAAAATTTAGTTATTAAACAATCAATTTTTTATTTCATCAGTGATCGGTATACATTTTATAATCATCTGTCGTTTAGTCCGTCTAATCTATGTACACTTTTCTCAATAGAAGTAAAAACCAAGTTTTTATACTGTTCAAATAAAGTTTTTTATGATTAGTATGAATAGTTATTCGCTATGTATAGCAATCATTAGATTGTGACACAGGATAGTCATTGGAACCTCATCCAGCGGTAGATCTACGACTTAACAATAAGCCACATTTATATTCATAATGGTAAATTTAAGTATCATGGCAATAACGATTTGTGAACACGAGAATTTATTTTTAATCAATACATCTATGATCTTTAACTCTAAAATAACTAGTAGCAAGTACTAATAATTCCAACTATCTATGGTCAACCTAAATTAGGTATCCACCGAAAACTAGGAAAGAATGGACATTTGTTTCTTCATTGTAGATTAATTGGTGGTGATATCGATAACATTCAGTAATCTTCTCAAACCTTCGTGCATACCATTGGATATAAAGCAAACGAGTTATTTTATCAAATACATTTATTGTCTTTTAATTCAAATAAGAATGAACACGTCTTATATAAAACATAAATGTACATCAATTTATGACACTCTATGGATTGACTATAAACAAATGGAATGTTTAAATGTGATTAGTAAAACTTATATTTTAAAATAAAAGCTCAACATCACATACTACTTATTTTACAAATAATGAAACTTTTTACAAACAGATAAACAAATAAAACGAACTATACCTGATGAATTGTACATAGAGAAAATGAAGTTCATTCATATTTTACAGAAATTAATTCCAAAATATACAATACACACACAATTGTCAAAATGAATACAATCAATTAAATTTATATTAAATATAATTAAAATAATTCCATTTCCTCTTTTGAGAAGGAAATAAAAATTTATTTATTTATTTAAGCCTGATGAGACAAACAAAGTACGGGACGAAACTTAATCAATCACATTAAGGTTTAAATAGTTGACGGTGATTTATTTTTTTTGTCTATTACAAGCTAACAATAATAATAATCATTATTATTATTGTTATTATTATTGGCTTTATTCAATATTATATTTTTGGTACAATATAGAATTCTCAGCACAAATTATTTCAACAGGTTTCCTATTCGTATTTTTTTAAATTCGATATTGACCATAAATATTGAGTGATCGCCAGTTAGATATTATATCATTTCAGAAGTTGACATCTGAATAATATTCATTCATTTCAATGAATATAGCCAGCAACCATGATACCTCTGATTGAGCTCTTTTGCAACTTGTATAGCAAAATTTTGTAAGCTTTTCATAAACACACCTGAATACGTTATAAGACTCATAAGTAGTATTTATAAAAGAAAAGAAAATATAACAATGATACACATGGATAAGTCAATATAATCAATTCAATTGATTAAAACAATAATAATCACAAACTTCTTCTTTTTCCTTCACGATTATTTCTTTTTTCTGTTTTTTTTTCTGTTTCTTTTTTCGTTTTCTTTTTTAACAAGAATAAAAATAATTATAAAAAACACATTACACCTTTGTATTTAATTATTCCATAGGATAACTATGACCCAATTATTGAATGATTTACCGAAGTATATGAAGTACTATTGGTTGGAATATTTTGTTGATTATTGAATGTTTTACAACAGAATATCTGTAAAAATATTATACGAAAATAAGACATTAATGAAATAAATACAAAAAAATTACATATTGAATCAATAGTGATTAATGTATTGCCAATTGTTTCAAGTAAACGACTTAAATGATTATTATCAAGTAAATTAAATGTTTGACATAATGATATCATAAAATTCATACATTCTAATAAACCAAATGCTAAAGCAACCATTAATACAACACGTGTCGCTTTCATTTGACCTTTTTGACGTTTACGTATAGCATCTTGTTGTGAATTTTCATTTGTCATTGGTATATCATCTAATGATTTTGATTGAGATATTTGTAATAATGATGATTCTTTTCTCCATGGACGTAATCTAATAATAATCATAATTGTAAATAATATGATAAGAATCCAAGTAATTACTGCACGATATGGTAAAACAATAAAACTCATATAAAGTGAGAATGATTTATGTGTGAACATATATTCTTGTGACCACATCCCATATTGATGATTAATTGGATCATAACATAATAATGAAATATAATCTGTATGTTTTAAACCAGCTATTATAATTGATATCAATAATAATAGAATAAATATTTGAATAAATTTTCGTGGATTTCTTAAAATTCTTTGCCATGAACGTGAACCCAGTGGCCAAATAACTACTTCAGCTCGAGCTGCCGTAATTAAACATACACACCAATTACGAGAAAATAGACCTACTTCAGCAATAAACATTAAAATATTTTGTATAACTGGTAATATAATTAATGTCATATCAGGTGGTATATGATTTGATTTATCCATTGGAATTTGATGAATAAAATATGATGATAATACTTGAATTAATTTAAATATAAATGCACCTAAATTAAAAATCACTTCACATCCACATAAAAATATTAAACTAATCATAAATGAACTTTGTGTACGTTTACGATGTCGTGATCTTGTTGATTGTATAATTGTACATTTAGATATATTGGAATATTCATTATCTAATAGAATATTACCATGTTGTGTAGATTGATGACTTCGTGAACGAATGGTTAAATCACCACCAAATAAGAATACAAATAATGAAATAAAATTTAATATGAAACCAATGAATGAAAAACAAATAAATGGTATTTGATGTTTTATTTGTGGTAAAATCATTGGTTTACCAAACATATTTGAATCATTAATATGATGACATAATCCAAGATATTTAACATAATAATAAAATGTAAATGAGAATTGTAATGTTGTTGTATTCATTTCAATGTAAAATGATTAATTCTGGCATTGAACATTGAAGAAGAAAAAAAGTTCTTTGATATGACATAAGTATCCTTTATTTTTGTAGATCGTTATAATTCTTCATAATCTTATTGGTTATTTTAACTATCAAGAAAAAAAAAAAAGAATTTATTGTTTATAAACCAATCGTGAACGACTTATGAGTAGTTATTGGTTAAATAAATAAATATTGTCTTTTAGACCATTGAGCAAGCATTCAACGATGTTAATGTTTAACACTTCAACCAATTTACTTTATCCAATCTCACGAAATGGGATCATGGATGAACACTATTGAGGAGTCGTCCCATAATAGGATAAAACGGCCGTTCAGTGTTTCTAGGTTTTCCATGGGGATCTAGCTTCATCTCTACTTCAGCATGTGATATCGAAATGATCTGAATGTTATAACTTGTGACTGCCTATTAGAGAGCAGCGAATTATCGATCGAACCAGCGACGCATAAAACACGCGCGAGCAGCCTAGAGTCCTAATTGGTCTCGCTTTCTGTCTAGCCCAGCCAGTTAAGTTCAGAACACCAATCTCAGCCTCTGCTATATGAACCGTTTATTTCAAACACACTCGGTTTATATATCAACCAGACAGACCACATTGTACCATAAATCAGGCAACAACATTTATACAATATTTAGCCAAAAGTGGCTGTAAATGTGGGAGATAGTAATTAATAGACAGGCCATAACACAAGAACGGTAAATCGTATAATAATAGTCCATATGTCAAAATAAAGCTCATAATAAGAGGGACATAAATATGAATAGTTTAGTTACATAACAATTACACGATAAAAATATACTCATAGCAATGGTCCATAAATGGATCCCAAGAATTACCATTCATTATTCTTATCGGGATATAACACTGAATACAAACTACTTTTCAATACATCAAAATATAACGTTAAAATGAATGTTTTAAAATTCTATCCTTAGAGTAACATCATAGAGAATTCAATGTATCTTTAAATTTTGATCATGTCCGGTAGGAAACGGCCGTTCAGTGCTTCCAGATTTTCTATGATGGTCTAGCTTCAACTGGCTCATCAATTCAACTAATAGATTACTATAATATCCACAAAAGCCCTCTCTGATTATATTAGATTGTCTTATGATTACTGACTGATTGATTACATGTACAAATA